AGGATCCTAACATGCTCTAACGGGCCATCATTTTCTATTTCTCTTCATTTGCTCTTTACTTCACCCACTATAAAAAAATGACATACAGTAACACTAAACAGTAACAATTTTTTAAAATATGTTACTAATACGTATTTATGGTAGCATTTCTTGTGAAAATGTTATGAATATAATTTGATAAGTAACACTTCATATTTTTATAACTCATTATCATTAATGTTGGAAATGGTTAAACCACCCCTAGGTGATCGAGTGGGATGATAGAGACCTTACGTGTATTACTCAAGAGGTCATAAGTTCAATTCCCCTCAATTGCTAATAGGTGTGGTCACATAAAGGTTTATGCGATCGTTAACTTTATGACCCCAAAGAAGAATGTCGAAGTGTGCATAAGTTGGTCCAGACACACTCAATTATCAAAAAGAAAAAAAATAATAATAAGAAGTAGCTTATATTAATTATAGTGAAAAATGAACTTATAGTGAAAAAGAGTAGTTTATTTATCCTTATTCTATATTATCAAAATAATTTAAAATGCACAATTTACACTACCGTATCAACAAATCACTAATTAAAGAAGACAATCATAATCTTATTAATAAGACCATTTTAACCAAAAAAAAAAAAAAAAATTTGAAATAAATATCTGAATAAACGTAAAAATTAAATAATTTATTAATTAAAAGAAGGAAAGAATTGTAGAAAAAGAAAACTTAGCTGCCTTCTCCAACGTTTCTTTGTGTCCTTCACTTTTTCATTTTCCAGACGCACACATGTTTATCACTTGTTGTCAAGCATATCTGATTCTTCGCTTTCCTCAAATCACAGGTGCCTTCTAACTATCATCATTCTCCGTCATATTTCTCTTTGATTTGTCTTGAATGGGGCCTTAATTTTGTTCTTATTAAAGCATTTACATCTACTACTTTGTCTTGATATTGTGAATTTTCAGCCTTAATTTTTCCTCTCCGTAAATCATGGGGTTATTTAAAGTTTAGAAGTTTATAATCTACTTGATTAGTAAAGGTTTATCAAATTAGGGCTTTGTTAGTTCAAATTGTTGATTCGAGTTTCAACTCTTTATTAGGGTATTATATGCTTCTAAATGAGCAATCTTTTGTTGCAATATTTTGGTGCTAGTGCTGTGATGTGGGTTTTACGAATTTATTTACATGAGCCAACAGGGGCTGGCTGAGACTTGTAATGAATTAAGAGAAAGTGTATAGTTATATTAGAGAGGTATAAGATTGTTGAGTGAGTAGAGAAAGAGTAGGCGGGTGAGAGAGTATTAATGGGAATTAGAAGAGTAATAGTGGGGTATAGTTGTTTCCAAGTACAGCTATAATGAAGCAAACAAGAAGTAGAAAGAAATAACATATTAGAAAGAGGAAAAAGAAAACAGGTAGAGTGGGGCAATTGTGTGGCAGCATAAATTGGGAGAAGCAACTCACCAGCGTCTTAATTTTTTTGGTCAAAAAGATAGAAAGTAATAGATTTTTGTCAGAAGTGCTTTTAAGAAGTGGGACTGATCTAGGTCAAGTTCGTATCCATTTTGTCCCTTTAGATTTTGCTTCAGGAATATGCCACTTTCTTACCTTCTGCTACAATTACAAATCAGAAACAAAACTGATCAACCGTTGTCATTTCAATTGAAACGGCAGCAGCCCTCTGAAGACAAAACCATCATTCCTTTTCACATTGTTTATTGTCGGTCAAGTTGGCAAAAAATCGCACACATTTCAACCCATAATATGCACCAAATTGGGGTTGTGGAGAGCATCTAGCATGCCATAGACAATGAAAACAAATTTATTCAATAAAAGAAAGCGATACACAGCAGTGAACAATATAGGCCATTAGACATTGGGAGTGAAGCTTATGGTTATCCAGCTGGAAGATAGAAGAATAACACATGCTTTTAAAAAAGAGAAATAGAATTAAAAGAGAGAAAGAAAAATCTCTTGTTTCTTTTTCTTTTTCCAGGATATATTATTCATGACTTGGAAAATTCTGAAAAGGTAAAATGGTGTTAGTGTTGCTTGCTGATTCCGATTTTCATTTTATTGGATAGTGGGACATAGATAAGATGCCCTTTTGAAAGTATATTGACTAGACTTGAATTTGAAGACGTCGTCTTCATCATCATTGGAAGTGACCTATCAATTCTTCTGTTTCATTTTATTGCTGATAGTGGGACATAGAAAGATGCTCTTTTACGTTTTTTCGTTGAAAGTAAATAATGCAGAGCAAGCAAAATAATGAGCACATAAACTCACCTTTTTTCTGTATCAAACTTTCTCTTTGGGTTACCCAGCAGTGCTCCAAAACCTCGGCTAGGTTTCTAGAGCCTGAACAGATGCTTCAATAAACCTATAAAGAAATAAACATTTTAATCTACAGCTATCAATTTAAGATTATAATCAATGCAAGGCATTGACATTTTACAACACTGAAGAGGATATGCCAGTATTTGTCTCTCTACTTTGGCACGAGTTAGTAATGCTTTCTCTGGGAAGCTCCGAGATATGAATGCTAGACTCCTCTTCTTCACCATTTGTTCAGGATGCCCTAAAGATCCTAGTCCTTTTCTGTCAGGTTTGTAACACTGCTTCCAAATTTCAAAGAAGGTGGTAGGTGTGGAATGATGCTAGCATGAACGCATTGCCACCACCAACACTTTCTATTGTAAAACTTTAACATACATCTTTGGTATGGATTTATCAGAGGGACTGTAGCTAGCTACCGAAACATAAATAAATAAATAGCTTTTTGATAGGAACACACTCCAATAACTCAACAATTGGGCTGGGCCTGGGTCTTTCATGGGCTTGGTAGAAATCTCCCTTGGAAACCGGCTTGCCAAGGGAGGGTGCCCAAGCCTTTATAAACCACATGCCCACTTTTCTCTTTCAATGTGGGATCCTAACATTCCACCACGCTTCCGCAACCGACGTCCACGTCGGCCTTTACCCCGTCGGCTCTTTACCCCTTGGGTGACTACGCGGATCCCCTTTCCTCGGGCCTCCATGCCCTTTCTCGGGGTAGCAGCCGGGCCAAGGTCAGCCTGCCACGGGTCAGCCTGCCACGCGTGCGCTACCACATAGGCGCAGGATCATGCTCTGATACCAATTGATAGGAACCACACTCTAATAACTCAAAATTTGGGCTGGGCCATGGGTCTTTCATGGGCTTGGGTAGAACTCTCCTTGGGAAACCGGCTTGCCAAGGGAGGGTGCCCAAGCCTTTATAACCCACATGCCCACCCTTTTCCGTTCAATGTGGGATCCTAACACTTTTTGATTCAGTGTATATGATGTAAGCATTTATGATGTATTGATCATTGAAAATAACATTCTTACATATAATAATTATAGCAATTGTAATTCCACAGCGATCATTGGTGACGATTTGACTTCATTTCACATACCCAACCTTTTAGTTTTGTCCGACAACTCTTTAGCTCGCATGACCCATTCTGGCGGCATACCACTTTTTCAGTCTTTGGTTAGCTGAGGTCTTAATCTTTATTTCCATACTTGTTGTGACAGGTACTTTATTGTAGAAGATGGTTTCAATTTTACGCCGCGCTCTAAGGCTAAGGGGAAATCTGCAACTAATCCTTCTCATGCATCAAAAAGTGGTACAACTGTTCACTTAATTTAGTTGAAGATGTTCCTCAGGTTGTCTCTTTGCAAGATGAACAATTCAACCTTCTCCTCCCATTGCCCCTTCTATCACATTATCTCATTCAGAGGATGTCACTCTTCCTACTACAAGTTTGGGCTCTCATTAAATTGCTTAAAATTTTGGTCTTCTTATATGTTTCATTACATAGTATCAGTCTTTTTACTACTAATGATAAATTTCATTTTTGTCACAATAGATTCCATCTCAACCAAAGTGAAAAGAGGTTGCACACGAGGGAAAGGCCTAAGTAAAATGAACAAATCCTTTGGTAAGAAGTTGAAAGTGCATGTTGATTTGGATAAGGGAAGGCCAGTAAATAAGTTCAATCGACTAAGTTGTCCAGTCATTAGGAGTAATATTTGGGAGTAATACGTGTACCAACAAATGGAAGGATATGGAGGTTCATAATTTCAACCTTGACATGGATAACTAGATGTAAGTGTATTCATATTTATTGTTTTTATTGGGAACAATAATTCATTTTCTTTTACTTGATATGATTTGAGAAATGGACACAAAATAGGTTATTTGATCATTCTTTATTAGATGTACTATTCATTAATAGAGACATAGATACATATTTGATTTATTTGATCACTATATAGAGTCACCTAATGGGTATTACATATTATACAAGAGTTTCATATGTTCTTATTCTTTCAACAAGCAACATGCATACTTGTTTCTTTCTTTCAACAATGACAATTGCCTATAGTAATAAAGTGTAACTTGTTATTTGTTTAGCTCCACATGGAAATTGAAGACATAGGTGATGAAGCAATACAAGAGAAGATTAAGCAATTGTTGAGAATCGATTAGGAATGCGCAGTATAAGTTGCACAGACATTTTAGAAATTACAACACTGAGGAGGCACAAAGAAAAAAGCCAAAAGAAAATGGTTTGACTCAAGATAATTGGAATTTACTTTGCAAATATTGGTCTGATCCAATGTGAAGGTATAAAATCTTATAGTTGTGAAAAAAATCTTATAGTTGCAAATATTGATTATTAGACCAATAATCAATACAAGGAATTTACGAGATTCACTATTTTACCGGTTTTGTCTAATGTAGGCAAAATGTGAAAAAAAAATGCTGAGAAAGACGAACAAAGAATACTATGCCACATAACCAAGGATCTGTGGCTTTCGTGGTGGTCTGCAATGAGATTGTAAGTACTCTGAATAGCTTCATTTTAACTTGGATTCTTTTGTTAGTTTAGTACAAAATACATATAAATCAAATCTGAGTCTATAATATTCAGTATTTGGAATTTGAAATGTTATTGACCAATTGGATGCACATGAAATTAGGAGAAGAAGGAACTAATGGGGAGGAATGTGATCGAATTAGCTTTTTAAGTTCACTCATTTCAAAGAAGGAAAGGGTTAGATGCCCCCAAAAGTTGAGGCAAAATATGTAAGTGAAATTAATTAGTATTCAATTGATTGTATGTAACAACGTTGTGTTTACTTACGATGATTGGAATTGTTAACTTAATTTGATGTTATATTGAATGCCTAAAATGCAGAATGAAATGATAGAATTGAAGGAAAAAAGTTCATCAGATGAAAACCATAACTGTACATGAAATTTGTGATCAAGTGCTTGGAACTCGATCAGGATATATAAGGGACTTGGGTATGGTTTAAAGCCTAAGAAAAAGCAGGACCAAGTTTCAAATTAAGAGACTTGCAGATGTCTTAAAGAATCTGAAGATAGATTTAGAGAATCAGAGGAGATAAATCTCAAGTATAAGAGAAAGTAGATGGACTAACCTTACGCTTAGAACGAGAAGAAAGATGTTTAGATGTGGCTTGCCGTTGGAAATCATCCACCTGCTCCTTGAAGGTAAAAATCATTAGCAATATGTCTCCCTAATGTTTTATGTTAACTTTATTACAAACTTTAGACAAAAATATAGTTGAGTAATTGTTAATAATGATTGTTGCAGACTTGTTTGGGATGCGTATACCTAGACGTCCAGCAGCTTCAGCAATTCACTTTTTTGCTTCTTTGAAATGCAGCCACTATAGGAGGGTATTTTTTTTGACAATCCTAGTAGTGAAGAAGAAAATAGTATATTTGACATCGACTAACAAAAAAAGTGGAGGTGCGGTGGGTTAGTATTTTGGGTAGGATTTGAGGATAGTATTGGATAGTTGGATAGGGTTATGATTACGAGAATATGATTTTCAGAATATGTGTTTGGTAGAGTATTTGATCTTGATATTTGTGTGTAAAATTTGTTAATTATTTGTTTATAATGATTATTAATAAATATTTTATTGTATTTTGTTAAAATAATGTATTATTATAATATATAACTTATCACCTCACATTTTAATAATACAATATTTATTGATAATTTGTTAACGTATATATTAAAAAACAAAAACCCATATAATTTCAAGTAGTAATCCAACAGTTTAAAAACATCACATAATACATATATGACAAAAATACTAATTATCAACCCTTACAATCATTATTACACGTTTACTCCAGTAACAACTATGACATGGTCCACTGTGCTACCACAGTGCATTCGTTATGTTACCCGTACAGTCATCATGTTGTCTATAATACCTTGTTGCGGTTGACTCGATCCTTTCCATTTCCGCCATATTCTGCCCCGTTTTGATGATCACAATATGCTTGCTCATTACCCATACTATTATTGGTTTGTTCGAAGATACGGTCGTCCATATTGTACATTCTTATAAAATTATGAAGTACACAACATGCCATGACAATCTTCCCTTGTTTGTCCAACGGATAATTGTTCATTCCATTTAGAATACGGAACCGTTTTTTCAAAACACCAAAGGTTCTCTCGATAACATTGCGGAGTGAAGCATGTCTGTAATTAAACAACTCTGTGGCCCCCTTCGGTTACGGCGGTGATCAGAAATATGGTAAGCCACTTGCCTATGAGGGGCGAGGAACCCATCCCTATTTGCATAACCCGCATCAACCAAATAGTATTCCCTGTAATAATATCAGACATTTTATTTGAATTACAGGGCTCAACAGTGATGTAATACGCGTAATACGTCAAGAAAATACTTATACCGGTGGAGGATTGGGAATCCAGAATTAGGATCATCAATAATTGAATTTAAAACTCTTGAATCGCGCTGATCCTTCCCATCCAGTAACGACAAGTGAACATCATTGTAAAGGCGCTACAGCCATTATATCTGTGACATCGATCCTTTGCGATTCCGGTACCTAATGGCAAATTCACGTGGAAACGAAGCGTATACATGTGTGCCATCTATGGCTCCAATACAGTCCTATCATGAAAATGAGTATTTCACTAATATTAAACTACTAAACAAATTAATAATACAATGAACTTAACTATCTACTAATACCAAACATAATGAAACAGTACCTTAAAGAAAGGGTAATATTTCTGTTGGCTGATATTTCCCATGGAACATCATTGAAGTCAGGTGGTCTGATAAACTCTGTCTTCAACCACATATAGCATCGCAAACGCCGGTAACATGTCTAGAAATCGTCTCACCCGAATGTTGAAATCCTCCATCATCGTTTGATTGTCTCATTTTTTCCAACGATTGTTAGAAATATCATAACTTGTTCTTCTAAACTCGTCCTCCTGGTTGGTTGCAATTTGCCTTGATCGGACCAAAATTCACAAACAATGTAAAACAGTCTCTGTCCATGCGGCACTTGTCATAGATCCTGTCAGGATGACCGTTGAGTACTTCCAACATGTACTGAGACCAGTTAATACAGAGTATGTCGTGGTTGAGGTCGACTTGCTTCTAACGCGGCAACACAGCATAGTGCAATGGCTATATCTGTCAGTATTTCTTCTTCGTCCCTCTCATCTGTAGCACGTTGTCTTCTTCCTGTACGGCTAGACGACGCCATTTAAACCTACACATTTGCAAAACATTTATCAACAATTAATAGTTGTTGTACTACTTTGAAAAATAACAGTCAATATTTAATTGCAATGACAATCTAAAACAGTGTTTACACATTACAAATCACTAAATAAGTTCATACAGTAACGTTATAAATTGTAATTGTAATGACAACTGCCCACTGACGATACAAAATTGTTGCCAAACAATTATGAAATATAGTGTCATTACGAATTATTTGAAAAAGTTTTTTGAATCCAGTTAGCCCTTTCGTCCAGTGGGAGTTTCACAATATCTCGCCCCACCTGGATTTTCATATAAGTACTGACAGTCGGCAGGAAAAACTGTGTCGGTACTTGCATGGCCGTCATGATGCAATACAATTGCTCATGGAGAAAGGATCAGATGGAGCACTGGTGTTCGCTTCTTCCCTCTCATCTCTAGGACGATCGGAAGCCTGGATCCCATTGTCGCTTTTCCGCAAGCTCATCCGTCAAGCTATAAATGGCATCCGCAATTGTATGTCCGGGCCCCCTTCTAGCCTCGATTTCTCGCTCCTCCATGACCAGATATGTTTGGCCGTTTTTCCCCTGTCAAACGATCAGGATCAGGTTCAAAGTCGCTATCATCCATAGGAACCGAGCCGGGATTGGAATAACTGGAAGGCTCCACCTGTTGGGATGTAGATGTGTACGCATATCTCCAGTGGCAGTTTGCTTCTCAAATATATTTCATAAAGTTCCTGTGGGGAAGTCCCTTGTGGTAAATTGTTGCGCCAGGGGTTTTGCTGATGAGTTTAACGAATAAATATATTATTTAGCAGTCCGAAAAAATGCGTTATTACAATGAAGTTGAATAATAATAGTAAAAAAATATATACCTGACATATTCTTGCCAAACCTCAACGGGACACGTTGGACTTTGTGACTCTTGATCCCACCCGAATCCTGTGTGTTGCAGCAATTTCCGCCATGCTTGATAAAGTTTTGCAGGCGAAAGAACTTAGAGGCTAATTGTGTCACGTTGAGTCTCCTGCCAGCCAATGATGGTATGTCGTCCAACATTTCTTGGTAATCAGCTGTTTTTATTGCAGTACCATGTGAAGTTTTGGCCCGCTCAGATAACAGGACCAGAAATCTGTGTGTCATCTCAGCAGACCAAGCCACAGAATCACCCATCTAAGGACAGTACGGTGAGGGACACACAACATTGGGGCACCATACGAATCACCAAGCACATTACACAATATAATATCACATGTTAAAGTAACAACTAAACACATATAAAAATGTACCTCGTTCGATCGACACTGCTTGAAGACGTCAATGCAGGGGAAGATACAGACAATGTCGACCAACAGGGTGTATGACGAACTCCAACTCTAGAAAAACGTCGAAACTTTCGCCTCTGGTGCAAGTAATAATCAATCCTGCGACGTCGAGATAAATTATGCTGACATCTATGCATATGAGCGTAATTTCTGGGTACGATTAAAGAACGATGTCAAATTATAAAACAAATAAATCAATTAGTGAAAACGGAATAAAATATTCAGTTAACCAAATACAAAACGCATTTTAAAGTCCAAATTCAAAGGATTAATGAAAAAAAAAAAACAATACTAATACAAATTATTTCCAAAAAAAAATTGAAAAAAAATGCGGCTCGGTGTCTTGAAAACAAATAGATAACGGAAACTTACAAAATTGATTTGGATAAGTCGTGAGTCTCTTTCCCTCTCTGAGTCAGATAAACATCCAAATACAATTAAATGGATCCGTGTGTACACGAGATTAAAAAGCTGTCAAACAAAACAAAAAACCCAATTAAAACAATCCTGTGCCAATTACCGAATAAAATAAAAACCGAATTAACAATTATATGCCAATAGCCAATCAAATAAAAACCGAATTAAAACAAAATCCCAAATAAACAAGAATGCCCCAAAAAAAACCCAATTAAAAGCCGAAAAAACCAATTGCTTTTATATGTGTGGGTTTGGGTTGTTTATTAGACAAAACAAAGCATTTTATTTTGAAGAAAAAAATTCAGTTTCAAAATGGTGGGTGTTTAGCAGATATGAGGTGGGTTGATGGAGATTGGGGTGTGGGTTTGATGGAGATCGTGGTGGCCGGGGTGGGTGGTGTGGTCGAGGTGGTGGGTTGGGGTCGTGTGGTGGTGGTGGCTTGGGGGTGTGGTGGTGGTGGGGTGGCTTGGTTGGGGTCGTGTGGTGCGTGGTGGCTTGGGTGGGTGTGTGGGGTAGACGGGGGGTGGTGGTGGTGGTGTGTGGGTGGTGGTGGTGGTGGGTGGGCTGGGTGGTTGGGGTCGTGGGTGGTGGTGGGGCTCGGGTGGGCTGGGTTGGGGTCGTGGGTGGTGGTGGTGGTGCGTGGGGGCTGGGTGGGCTGGGTGGGTTGGGGTCGTGGTGGCTCGTGGTGGTTGGGTGGGGTGGTGTGGGGTAGATCGGGTGCGTGGTGGTTGGGGGGGGGGTGGTGGCCGGGTGGGTGGGTGGGTGGTGGTGGCTCGGGTGGGCTTGTGTGGGGTCGTGGTGGTGGTGGTGGCTGGGTGGGCTTGTGTGGGGTAGATCGGTGCGTGGTGGCTCGGGTGGGCTGGGTTGGGGTGCGTGGTGGCTTGGGTGGGCTTGTGTGGGGGAGATCGGGTGCGTGGTGGCTCGGGGTGGCTGGTGGTGTCGGGTGGGCTGGGTTGGGGTCGTGGTGGCTCGGGTAGGCGGGTTGGGGTAGATCTCGGGTCGTGGTGGCTCGGGTGGGCTGGGTTGGGGTAGAGATAGGGTCGTTGTGGTGCGTGGAGGCTCGGGGTGGGCTGGTTTCCGGGTTGACGGTGGGTTCACGTTGGGTTACAATGTGAGTTTGTGACACAGGGCATTGGGGGTTCACGGTGCTGGTACTGGAAACTAGAAAGGGAGTGGTGGTAATGCAAACTGGGAAGTGAAGCATCGAACCTGGTAATGGATTATCAGAAACTGAAATGGTGACTGAAATGGGGTGATGGATATTGAGAAAGTGAAGCACTAAAACGGTTATTGAATTGAGAACTGAAGCACGGAGAAGAAAGTGAAATGGTGAGGATGCAGTGAAAAAAAAAAAAAAGAAAAAAAAATGTAACGGTCAATGTCAGATTGTGTCAGGATTCTATTATCAGAGTTG